CCCAAAAAAAAAGTGAAAACGAGCGAAAAAATTTTAAAAGTTTGAGTTCGCGCGCTTTTACTCACCGGGTGGAAAAAACCTCGTCCCTAAGGGCTTTCAGCGTATTTTTCGATGCGTTTTTCTCGATGAAGGAATTTTTTTTGAATTTTTTCTTTATTTTTATGTCAATCTACATGCATTTCTGCACATTTTGATGCAATAAAAAATTTCACCGTACACCACCTTTAAGAGTGGGTATCATCACATCAAAATCGCCGATCCCTCTTCTGACCTTTTAGCTTTTTCACTGTCAGGTCCCCCACTAGCTCCTTTTTATAAGTTTACAGCATTGCCGTTTGGGCTGAGCTCAGCTCCATGGCTTTTTACCAAGGTTTTTAGGCCTTTAGTGGGCAGATGGAGAGAAAAGGGGGTAAAAATTTTCCTATATATTGATGACGGGTTAATATTAGCGGAGACGAGGGAAGAAGCGGTAGAAGCGGTGAGATTAATAAGAGAGGAGCTGGCAGCAGCAGGTGTAACAGTAGCAGAAGAAAAATCGTTCTGGACACCGAGTGAACAGTTTACTTGGTTAGGTATTAAATGTGACCTGGTCACTAAGTCAATCAGATTGACAGAATCTAGAGAAGTTTCCCTGGGAAATCAGTTAGATAAGATGAAAAAGAGCAAAGCACCAACGATCCTGGATCGTCAAAAGTTATGCGGTTTCATTTCTTCAATGTCTATTGTGGCAGAGTGAGTTGTTTGAAGTTGAATTCTGGGAGAGGAAGCTAAAGAATGGAGACTTAGTGAGAAATATAAACGAAGAACAATTTGATCCTACTTGGTACCTATACACTGATGCTTCAGCAGAAGGAATGGGAGCAGTTCTTAAAAATAGCAGAAAAGAGACAGTTTGGCAAAAACACTATTTCATTTATCGCCAGAAGACGTCTGGAAATGATAGGAGCCAAGGGACTCACTTTGGAGCAAATCAAAGCCAAAGGACGGTGGAGATCGGGAGGTGGCTTGATGAGATATCTTCAAGACAATCCAATGGCCCAGGGACTCAGCGAGGTTCTAGAGGAGAAGGAAGTGACAGGGGAAGCCGAAGAGGACGATGGACCACCAGTGCTAGAGAAGGAAGTCTAAATTGATTCAATTGCTTGCTTATCTTGTAATACTTGTTAGAATCGTATTAACAGGTTATTTTAGTACCGAAACGTTTCTTAGTTATTTATCAAATTTATCCGCTTCATAGTATATTATTGTTCTCATGTGTTAGATCCTCCTCTTCCTCTTCTGGAGACGCTTTGGCGGTGTTTGTTTGGGGTGGAGAGGTCTGAAAGAATTAAGCTACAGTAATCTTAATGTTACCGTAACCCTACAGTAGTCCCTCAGTGCCTAAAAAAGCTAAAGTAACCCAAGAATGAAATCTTTAGAAAAAAATAAAGTAGCCCTACAAGGAAGTACAGTAGTTCCTCAATAGAAAAGCTACAGTAACCAGAAAAACTGCTGTAAAGCCGAGTAGTAGCTACAGTAATCCTTGACCTATGAAATCTACAGTAAACCAAAAATGAGTTTGGTTGGAAAATGTGAATTTCAGAGCAAAATTATTCAATTTTCGATATTTCTCTGTGGGAAAATATTGAAAATGATGATATTTTTAGAAATTCCGAAAATTTGAGATTTCGGGAAAATTTTGATTTTCTTCAGAAAATTGGTTTTCAGAGCAAAAATGTATCAACTTTCGATAGTTTTTATGAAAAATGATAAGAATTCAGGTACAGTAATCCTCGAAAGTTCTAAAAAAATTTCAAGATTAAAAAAAGTTCGAATCGGAAAAAAATTGAATAAAATCGAGTTCTGGCTCTCTGCCAACTTATCTAAGGGATGAGCAGACAACTGTCGTTTATCTAGCTACGCGGGGCTCTTTTCTACAGATTATGGACCACCATGGACAAATTACACCGTTCTTCCAATTAAAAGCTTAGCGATGACTGCTACCTATCTCAGAAGCATCCTAAGCAATTAATAAAGAGACTGTTTAACAGCACATTGCCGACAGGTGGTTGCTCCATGGCTTATATGGACCCAAAAATTCAAAAACGGACCAACAGCGTTTTCAAGGCGGCTCATCATTTTTCGTTCTCTTACAAATTAAACGATTGTTTTGTAACGGATTAATAGCGGCTCTGTAGCAGTACCATTGGATGGGCAGCTCAGGAAAATGTCAGGAAGATTCAAAAACGGACGAACGGCGGCTCAACGACGGACCAAGAAGAATTAGAGGGGGGGGGGGGGCGCAAATTTTGAAGAATTAAAATTCGAAACTCAAAAACAGATTTAAAACAATTCAAGACTTTAAGTTTTTAATTTTTAAAGAATTCGAGAATTCGAAAGATTAGAATTTTTCGAAAAACTGAAATTCGCCTGTTTTGGAAATTTTTGAAGTTTTTGAAAATGAAAAAAATGTATTTCTTTAATGGTTCAAATTTTTCAATTAAAATTTTTAGAAAACTTTGAAATTATATTTTTTTTGCAAAAAAAAAAAGTTTTTCAAAGATTTTGAACTTCAGGTTTTCAAATATATTTGAATTTCAAATTCAAAACTTCTTGATTTTCTGAATATTCGAAGTTTCGCTAATTTTGGGAATTCCAAAGTACATTTGTTCCGAATTTTTCGAATTTTCTCGATTTTTTCCGAGGAACTGTCTGGACCGTGGCCATGTTCCCGACAGCCCTGCTGTGTCCAAAATTCAAACTTCCCTCCAATTCTCTCTCTCTGCGTCTCTTTGCTTTCCCTCTCCCTTTCTTCCTGACCCATCGCACATCCCCATGTCTTTTCCCTCTCTTCGTTTCCATTATTATCTCTCTCCTCCACTTGTCCATTTACTCCCCTCTCTCTGTCTGCGTCTCTTCTTCCTCCTTTTTCGTGTCGAGACCCACCGACTCATTTTTCGACGAATCGTTCGTCGGGCCGTTTATTACTAGTACTACACACTCTGCGTATCTTATCTCTCGCGTTCGATTTTTTTTGTTTGATTTTTTTGGTGGCAGATTTTATTGATTTTGGACATAAAAATGGACCCAAAGAAGAGAAATTTGGGTTGTTTTCTATCGATTTTTCGGTTTCTTTTGGTCCGTTTTGGACCCTTTTTTTTGGTTAAGTTTCAAATGTTCTTTTAATGCTAAACCCAATTTTAGATTTGAGTTTTGCGGACCATTTTTCATCGATTTTTTCCTTTAATTTTCGTCAATTTTTTAAAGCTGAGCAATTTCAAAATTTTCAGAAATGGCCGCCGAATCGGCAACGACTGAAACTGTGAATAAGAATGGAACGACTGGCGACGAGTCGACGGTCGAAATTAAAGGAAATGGAGAAACGGTAATGAGCCTTTAAATACAAACTTTAAAAAAGATTACTGTAGAAAAATGTGGCAAAATTTTGACCGGAATTTTAGCTGACAACGAAAATTTTGAATTTGAAAAAATTTCCGATGTAAAAAAGAAATTTTTAGAAAACTAACTGTGAAAAAAAAGAAAAATTCTCAAAATTCAATTTTTTCAAAAATCCAGAAATTTGACTTTCAAACTCAAAATTTTGTAATTTTAAGATTTTTAGAACTTTCGAGGATTACTGTACCTGAATTCTTATCATTTTTCATAAAAACTATCGAAAGTTGATACATTTTTGCTCTGAAAACCAATTTTCTGAAGAAAATCAAAAATTTCCCGAAATCTCAAATTTTCGGAATTTCTAAAAATATCATCATTTTCAATATTTTCCCACAGAGAAATATCGAAAATTGAATAATTTTGCTCTGAAATTCACATTTTCCAACCAAACTCATTTTTGGTTTACTGTAGATTTCATAGGTCAAGGATTACTGTAGCTACTACTAGGCTTTACAGCAGTTTTTCTGGTTACTGTAGCTTTTCTATTGAGGAACTACTGTACTTCCTTGTAGGGCTACTTTATTTTTTTCTAAAGATTTCATTCTTGGGTTGCTTTAGCTTTTTTAGGTCACTGTAGGACTACTGTAGGGTTACGGTAACATTAAGATTACTGTAGCTTAATTCTTTCAGACCTCTCCACCCCAAACAAACACCGCCAAAGCGTCTCCAGAAGAGGAAGAGGAGGATCTAACACCGGCCAAGAAGCGAACTGGTGGATCGGAGGATGAGAAAACGGAAAGTCGAGGTGAGCAACGGATTACTGTAGAACAAAAAATGACAGGCTTTGAGAAGCAAAATGAGCCAAAATTCGGAAAAATTGGTCCAATAGTTTTTATTATTTTTTGAAAACACTTTTTTTGAACTATTTTTATTTTTTGAGAGTTTTGGATTTGTTGGGGTTACTGTAGTTCAAAAATTTTTTTCGATACTTTGAAGGTTTCAAACAAAAATTTTTTGTGAAATTTTTTGCTGAAATTCGAATTTTCAGACGCTCCAGATGACGATGAATCAGAAAACGAGGACGATGAGGAGGATCGAAAATCGAATTTGGACGACGATCAAAATGTGGAAAATCCGGCGTATATTCCAAAAACTGGGCGATTTTATATGCATGATGATGGTCGGAGAGTTGATGTGAATTCGCAGGATGATGGGTACGGTTCTTTTGGGGATTACTGTAGATATAGTGAAGTAGGATTACTGTAGTGTTAATGTTAACAGATAAAAAAAAAAAATAATCACACTTTTTGGTATGAAAATTAGCTGGAAAAGGCTTAAAAACTGGCCGAGTTTCGATATTTTGAATTTTTAGAATTTTTGAAATTTTCGAAATTTCGAGATCTCAGATTTAAAGGTGGAGGGACATGAAAAAATAATGTTCTCGAAATTCCGTTCAAAGATGCCCCTCGAGGAGTTGAACTTGTGAGGGCGATGATTGAGGGTGCGGCGCCGCTACCGACTGAGCCACGCGGGCAAAGAGAAAGCGCGCGCCCGATTGCATACATAAAGGCGAGGACGACAGCTGTACGCAGAGTGACATTAAGCGTTGTACACCGTCACGGTAGAATGCATACTCTAGCTACAAAAAAACTACGAAAAATCTCCTGTCCCTCCACCTTTAAGAGATTTTCGGAATCTCAGAATTTCAGAATTTTCAAATTCTAGTCCCTAAAATCCTAATCTCAGAATCTGAATTCTGAATCTCAGGCTTCGCGATTCAAAAAGATTACTGTACTTTTTTGCAGCGATGATCGTCGAAATTCGAAAAAGTCCCGAGCCGACGGTGACTGGAAACACGATCGTTTCGATGAGAAATTCCAGCGACCCAAGACCAAAAAACAAATTGTGACAAAGTATGGATTCGATATTCGAATTAAGGAAGGCGAGACTCCAGATGACAAAGAGACGACAGCTCCAGAATCCACAGAAGACGATTCATCAGATGCACGTCATCTGAAACAGAAGCCGCGGCGAGTAACGTCTTCTGCAAACCGAGGGTCTTCTTCTGGAGGAGCACGTGGCGGTGGATCGAGGGGTACTGTAGGACGACGTCCGATGAAACAGAGGGAGCGAGAGGATACTGTAGATGAGTCGGAAGGCAAAGGAGATGAGGAAGAAGAAGCGCGGCCAGCACAGAAGAGGAATGTAAAGCAAGCGGAGAAACCGAGGAAGACGAGTGAGTTTTTTTGGGGAGGGCGGGGCTTGGTTGAGGTACTGTAGGTCTTTAAAAAGAAAAAAAAGAAAAAAAACGCCGTTTGGGTCGAACCAACAACCCCCAAAACTCAATTGATCGATAGCCCAGCGCAGTACCACTACATCACGAGCTCACACGAATGGAAAAGGAGCGCATGGCGTATAGAAAGGGAGTGGTGGGTGGCGCCCCACAGGTCGCGCATTGGGACCCACTGGAGTGGTGAAAATCGATGCCGTACAACCACTGTCAAGTTTGAGCTAATTTTTCTCGGCTCCTGTTCAAGATATCAAAACTGTGTTAACTGATAAAATGTTTGTGATATTATGATAAACATCTTATCAGTTGACATATCCTTGATATCTTTTACATAAACCGAGATACGTTGGCTCAAAGTTAAAAGTTAGTATTCTAAGATTCTGAAATTCTTAAATTTTGAAAATTTTCCAGAACCCGCTCCACCACAATCCAGCGAAGACAACGAAGAAGAAGAAGAAGACGATGAGGATCAAGGTGTTCGTCGTGGTCAACGTCGTGCCGTTCCTCTGCGACGTGGCACTTCTGGAGCGTCACGTCTTCGTGGTCGAATGAATCAAGGACCACCACGTCGCCATTCTGGGTCCCAAATGACGTCTTCTAGACAATCTCCACGTGGAAATGATAGATTCTCGCCGCGAGGAGAGTCGCGTGGTGGAGGATCTCGCTACAGTAATCCTGCTGATCGGAATGACGATAGATTTGAGAATCATCGAAGAGGAGTGATTCGTGGAGCATCTAGAGGAACTTCTGGTGGGATGACACGTGGATTCTCTGGGCGAGGAGGGTCAGCAATAAGGGGCGGAGTCAGAGGATCCACAGCCCCGAGATATGGTTCTGGTGTTAGACGGACGGATACATCGGAACAGAGTGAAGGATATCATAGAGGAGCTGGATCTGGTAAGAAGGGCGTTTTGGATATTCGGGGTTACTGTAGTAATAGAAGAAAACTACAGTAATCCGAAAATTAAGTACAGTAGCCTTAACTATTAAAATGACAAAGCTACCGCGAGCTCAAGTAATCCAAACAAAACAGAAAGAAAACTACATACAGTAATCCTAAAGTTAAGTACAGTAGTCTACTAACAGCTCCGAAAATTATCGAAGTTACAGTAATCCAACAAGACGGTACAGAAATATAGGGACAGCGACAGTAACTCAAAAATTGAAACTACAGTAATCGAACAAGATTTTACAGTAGTTCTACAATACCCTATGAAAACTACAGTTCGCCAGTCATATTTAGGTTTACAGTAATCCAAGGAGTAGATAAAACAGTATGGTAGTAGCTACCGTAATCTTACAACATCCTATCAAATTTACAGTAACCCAAAAATGAAAAATAATTGAAAACTATAATTTTTCACCTAAAAATTTCCGGAAAAAAAAATCAAAATTTCATTTCTTCCAGGCACCGACTACTCCTCGCCCCGCCCACATTCTGGACAGAATCAGCGTCCACCACAACAACGTCAGCAACCCCAACAACCCCAATCTCCGCCCACTCGTCCCAATAATTATTCCCAAAATAATTCGTATCGAGGATCCTCCGCCCCAGTTCATCATCCCCATCCATCAGCCAATGTCTATCCATCGACACGTGGCAATTACTCTGGAAATCACAATTCTGGAGGTCATGGACCCGTGGAATTTGTGCCACGAGGCGGACATCATGGGGGACATCATGGTGGCGGATACCATGGACCACCGCAGGGACACCATGGAAATAACCATCAACAACAACAGAAGCGATTTGTTCAAGGACCACCCATGGTGGCTGTGGGTGTGGTCCCGCCGCCTCAAATGACACGTGGCACTACTTCTGGTCATGGTGGACAACAGAATAACAGTCAAGGAGGTGGACAGAGGATTCGACAGCCCACTGATGTTGTTTATTTTGATCCACAGCAACAGCAGGTGAGCACTTTTGGGGGATTTTTGGAGTTTTTGAATTACCGTATTTTCTCTTTCAGCTCAATTATCTCGACTGCTATGAGAAATATAAAGAATTTGTTAACTGATAAAATGTTTATCATGATATCACCAACATTTTATCAACGGACTAATTTTTGATATCTCTTGCAGGAATTGAGATAATTGAGCTCAAAGTTAAAAGTAAGGGAGCCCTTCTATTACAGGGTTTTCGGTATGTAATTTTTCAGAAACTATTTTAGGATTACTGTAGCTATCATCACTACCGTCGTTTGTATTTTTAGATTACTGTATTTAAATTGAATAGTCCTCTCAAAGCGATTTACTGTATATTTTTGGTTTTTAGGTTACTGTAGATTTGTGTAGGACTACTGTATTATTGTTATTTCTTCAGAAAATCGTTCAGGATTACTGTAGTTGCTAGACTACTGCACCTACTTTTTAAATTACTGTAGCTTTTTAAAGGTCCATTGTAGGAATACTGTGACTTCTAGACTACCTTCTTTTTGGGTTACTGTAGTTTTTTTGTTTTTTGGTTACTGTAGGTTGGAAGGGTTACAGTAGCTTTTATATTTTCAGAATCTTGGGGCACTGTGCTTTTCATAAGTTATTGTAGGATTCCTGTAATTCCGCTATTCTGAGATTCCTAAAAATTTGAATATTCAACACTTTGAATTTTTGAATTTTTGAAATTTCGATTTTTTGAATTTAAGAATTTCCAAATTTCTGAGTTTCTAAATTTCGAATTTTTTTATTTTTCAGGAATTTCAATTTTTTTTTTTAATTTTTGAATAATTTTCAAATTTAATATTTTTTAGGATTACTGTATTTCGAAAATTTTACCTATTTCTCAAAAAATAAGCCCAATTCTAGAACTGCAGAACTTGAAAATTCTAGAAATCCAAAAAATCGTGAAAATTTTGAAAATTGTCAATTTCTAATTTTTTTTGAATTTTCGAATATTTTTTTGCTTCAGAGACTATCCCAAATCTAGAAAATTGAGATTTTGAAATTTTCGTAGAATTTCAAAATTTGAAAATTCCAGAAAATTTGAAACCACCTTTTTTTTAAATTTTTCTAATTTTTCCCAATTTTCAGGCCCGTCAACTTCCACCCCGGTCCAAGAAGGTCATCCCAATTGTGGACCCAAACAAGGCGGATCAGAAATAATCAGTTTCCTTTTTTTTCCTTTTTAAAAATCATTTTCTAAATTATTTTTTTTCTCGCCGCCAAAAACTCTCTCTCTTCGGTACTATGTATTCCGCTCCAAAAAATCGGACTTAATTAATATTTTTCTAATTAATTACCTTTTAATTACCCCCCCCCCCCCCCCCGCCCACCCTAATTAACTAATTAATTAATGTATTTTTCGGCATTTCAATTTATTTTTAATTTCTCAAAAAAAATATATTTATTGAAATTTTTAAAAATTTCTATTTAAAAAAATAATACGTTGTGATAAAAAAAAAAAAAATAATTTTTGAAAAAAATTAAAAAAAAAAAAAAATTTCCAAAAATTTCAGCAAATTGTGCAAGTTGGTGATCGAACATGATGACTTCCTGGGTCCACACTTGAGCCATTCATCTGAAATTTTTTTAAAAAGATTGCTCAGCTTAATTTTTCGAAGATATACCATTTTTCGTCCCGAATGATGAGTATTATTGTTATTTGAAGCATTTGTTGTATGGGTGGTCCCGTTTTCGGCATTTTGGGATTCTACAGTACCCTCTTCTTGATAAATGGCTTGGTCGTGGAGCTCCATGTAGCCGTCGATGGTTTGCTCGCCGGCTGAAATTTTAGAAATTTAGAATTTAGAACTTTTGAATTTTTGAATTTTTGAATTTTTGAATTTTTGAATTTTTGAATTTTTGAATTTTTGAATTTTTGAATTTTTGAATTTTTGAATTTTTGAATTTTTGAATTTTTGAATTTTTGAATTTTTGAATTTTTGAATTTTTGAATTTTTGAATTTTTGAATTTTTGAATTTTTGAATTTTTGAATTTTTGAATTTTTGAATTTTTGAATTTTTGAATTTTTGAATTTTTGAATTTTTGAATTTTTGAATTTTTGAATTTTTGAATTTTTGAATTTTTGAATTTTTGAATTTTTGAATTTTTGAATTTTTGAATTTTTGAATTTTTGAATTTTTGAATTTTTGAATTTTTGAATTTTTGAATTTTTGAATTTTTGAATTTTTGAATTTTTGAATTTTTGAATTTTTGAATTTTGAGTTTTTGAAATCTCAAAGTTTTGAGTTTCCAAAATTCCTGAAAATCAAAAAAACATACATCTCGGTCTGGCACAAAGCTCCCAAACACTTTTCCGATCGTTTCGCTCTAAAAAGAATGTGTACATCATTCCTTTTCCCTGAAAAATGAAACTACAGTAATCCGGAAAAACTACAGTAACCCAAAAAGAATTACTGTAATCCTAAAGAAACAGAAAATGAAATTGAAGAGCCTACCGTAACCTTATTTCTGCAGTAATCCTATAGTAACCTATAAAAGATACAGTAATCCAAGAAACTACAGTAACCAATTCTTTTTTATCATAAAAGTTAAAGTAGTCCAAAAAATCTACAGTAACCCAAAAATGAAAACTACAGTACTACAAAAAGGAAGTACCTTTCTTACAATAGTCCTACAATGTTCCATTAAAACTGCAGTACCCCAGGGAACTGAAAACGAGAAAGCTACCGTAACCCTTCGAATCTACAGTAATTCAAAAAACTACAGTAATCCTTTAAAAAAAAAATCAAATTTTCAGTATTCCTACAATAGTTCTAAAAACTACAGTAACCTGAAAATTCATACTATAATACAATAGTATTAGTAACCACAGTAATCCTGAACCATTATCACTACAGTAGCTCTAGATCGCCCCTTCCTACCGTAACCTGCGAAAACACAGTAACCCTAAAAATCGAAAAGCACAGTAATCCAACAAGGAGACACATTCATAGCAGTAAGCCTACAAAGGTCTGTAGAAACTACAGTACTCCAAGAAGCTTAGAAATAGAAATCTACCTTCAAATCTACAGTAATCCTAACAGCGTTTCTGAGAAAGAAAATAGTACCCTTATTACTAGACATTTAGAAAAGCTACAATAACCCCAAAAACCGAAAAACTACAGTAGCCCAAATCTACAGTACCCGAATTTCTGTATTTCCTCTATCAATGAAAACGTAAGAAGGATTCGCTTTGAGGCCATTCAGCTTCGCCGATTCGCTGACATGAATTTTGCATTGAATTCCATTCGATTCCATTTTGTTCGCCACGTTTACAGTATCCCCAAAAAGACAGTATCTGCAAAAAATTGAGTTACAGTAATCCTAGAGAGGCTACAGTAGACCAAACATGAGATTCAGTAGTGAATTAATACAGTAATTTTAATCTGAAGGAACTAAAAAGTAAGCCGAAGAGACTACCTTGTCTACAGTAGCCGATGAAAGCTACAAGCTACAGTAACCCAAAAAGACTACAAACCTTGGCATTTTAATTCCAACAACTCCGGCAACAACGGGACCACAATGAACGCCCAAACGAATTTTGATGGGTTTATGGGTGATTGGAGAAAGGACCAATTTGGATTCCATCAACATTCCTGGAAAATTTTGAAATACAGTAACTCAAAAATGAAAACTTCAGTATTCCAGAAAACTACAGTAATCCAAAAAGAAGGTACAGCCGTCAATTAGTAGGTACAGTAATCCTAAAAGAGGTTTTGAACTACTTCATTCAGTACTACATCACACCAAGGAATGCTACCTTAAACTACAGTAACCCAAAAATCGGAAACTACAGTAATCCTCTTTTAACCCACCAATGGAAATATTCAAAACTCTCTCCGCATGATTCTCACAGTGCTCTGGGACACCCCAACGATCATATAGGCATCGCCAATGGTTTCCACTTTGTAGGCGTCGTGCTGAAATTCAGAATTTCAGATCTTTCGAATTTCAGATTTTAATATTTAAGGATTACTGTAAGATTACAGTCCTCCTTATTTATTCGTATCTCAGAATTTCATAATTTCAGAATCCTAAAATCCAAGGTTCTCCACCCAGAAACTTCCCAGAAGCTCTTTTTTGCTCTTACCAATCCGACCAATCGATCAAATCGAAGATAAAGATCGTTGAGAAGGGTGACGACGTCATATGGTGTACAGAGGGCACAAATGTTGGTAAATGTGACAATGTCGGTGAAGAGGAGAGTGCAATCCGCGAATTCTTCTGGAAAAAAGCTACCGTAATCCTTTGGGTCTTGAGGTTATTTTTTTGAAGTTATGAAATTTGAAACAAGCACGAAAAACCGGTCAAAATGAGTATAATCACGTCATAGTTACGTGGGAATTGAAATTTTCGAATTTCGTGGTGGGACCCAACAAGTGGCGATTTTCAAAAAGTTCTGAAACTAGGCATGATTATACTCATTTTGAAGCTCTTTTGATGACAATTTCAAATTTGCAATTTTCCTAGAAATTGAATCAAAACTGATCGAGTTATGATGCTATCAAGATTTGGTCTTTTCGTGGTGGGACCCAAGCCTGGCGGTTTTCAAATTGTTTGTAACCAGGTCATGATTACACTCATTTTGAAGCTGCTACGATGAAAAATTCAAACTTGCAATTTTCATCAAGCTTGAATCAAAACTGGCAGAGTTATGATGCTTTTAAATTTTGGTAGCTTTCGTGGTGGTACCCAAAAAATGGAATTTTTTGAACATTTTTGAAACCAAGTCATGAATATACTCATATTGAAGCTCTTTTGATAACAAGTCCAAATCTGAAATTTTTATTGAAAATGGATCTAAACAGACCGAGTTATCATAGAACTTGAAAATCTCAGAAATTCCAAAAAAATATCGAAAACCTCAAAATATCCAAAAGTTTCTAAAAAATTAGACGATTAAGAATTTTGCAAACTTGTTATTTTTTTTTGAAATTCTGGAAAATTCAAGAGTTCAAATTTCAGAAGCTCCAAAATTTCAAAAATTCAGAAATTCGGAAATTCCAGAGAATCCCAGAAAATTCCTAAATTCCAAATTTCTAAGATTTTCAAAACTTCTAATTTTCTGGAATTTTCCGTTTCCAAACAGTCCAAGGATCCCTCAATGGATGTTTAATGCTATTTTTTCCTTTCAATTTCAAAAATTCCCAGTAATCCTGAAAGTCCAGATCCGGGAAATCTGGAATTTTCTAGAAATTCAGAATTTTTCAATTTATGCGATTTTAATGTTCCCTTAGGTTTTCTTCCCATATTATTCCACCCCATCTTCTTCCCCATTCCCCAGGATCTCATTAACGCTGAGCAATGTCTAAAAATTCGACGTCTTCTATATTCTATTCTATTCTTCCTACCTCGCCATCTGACGTGCGAGAGTCCATAAAGATACATTCTTCCCCGTCGTCGTTGTCGTCCTCTCCACCGCACCCCTTCTTCGATTTTCTCTAATTTCTCTCGCACTCTCTCAATTCCCCCAATCTCTCGCCTGCCTCGGGGTCAGCATACGCACGAGGCCAGCGAGAGAGCGTTGAAAAGTGAGAGAGTGCGAGAGAAGCCGCCCGTCTTGTCCATTGCGCAGGGCCGGGGGGAAGGCACTCTGGTCGGTGGTTGTTCTCTAGTCACTAGGCTCTTGTCGATTCCGTTTTTTTTTTCACATTCCGGGTGCATTTATTCCTATTCTTTATTCTAGTCAAATTTTCTTTATTCATTTCTATATTTAATCCCATAAAAAGTCCCTAAAAATCCGTACAAGATGGAGTTGGCCATTCAAGAAGACATCAGAAGCAGCAAGACGTTCCAGACACTTTGTGAGACGGATCGACAGATTTTGGAGAGGTTAGTTTGAGGTTTTTGTTCGGGCAAGGTGCCCAGAGTTGGGCAAGATGTCCTAAGTTTGCTCCTTTAGAAGCTTCCACAGCTAATTTCTAGGTCAGGCAAAATTCAAGTTCTAACTTTGACTAAATTTATCTCGATTCCCGAGAAATATATAAAATAAGTTTCAACTGCCAAAATATTTTACACTTCATGATAAGTAATTTGTTAGTTTACACCTTTTTGATAGCTCTCACAGGAAACTAGATGCGCTGGCTTAAAGTAGGTACCCCCATGGTAACCTTCACATGTGCGCCGCCGGCCGCGCAGCTACCCACTTTGACCTAATTTATCTTGGCAACTGTATAAGCTATTAAAAAGTGGTCAACTGAAAAATGTTTATAATAATATCAGCTACATTTTAGTGATTGGCAACTTTTTGTTAGCTTTCACAGAAAACTAGATAATTTGGCTCGCCGCCTGCCGATTTTGCGGCCCTCACAGTTGTTAACTTTGACCCAGTTTATCTCGGTTCTTGTAAAAGCTTTAAAAAAAGTTTAAACTGATAAAATACTGCAAATTTTATGTTTAACGTTTTGTTAGTTAAACACTTTTTGACATATTTTACGGGAAAAGAGATAGATGGGCTCAAAGTGAGCATATGCGATATCGGTCACCGACCGCGTAGCTCAACAGCGCGACACTCCTCACCCAATTCACGTGAACCACCACAACCACACAAAATAACTAGACCTAGCTAATTGGCAGATGGACCATCTCCCTTGAAAAAGGGGTCAAACGGTCCCGGGTCATCTGGTCATGTGTTTTTTGGCATCCCGTCCTTCCCATGACCACCCCCATAATAACTACTTTGTGTGCTATCTGAAGACGGGTGTTTGTGTATGTAGATGAGAAGATAGAAAGGGTCCTTTGTCAAAGAATGATGTAATGATGACAGTAGGACTGAACGGACGGTGCTAAACCTGTCCAAGAATGAATTGGGTAGCCGACAAGGCTGTGCAAATGGTGGCCACTGCCGGGGGTCGCCCGGGTAGTTTGTTTAAGCCAATTTATCTCGGCCCCTGTGAAAGATATCTGAAAATGGTCAACCTGCAAAATATAACTAATAATATGATTAACATTTTGTCAGTTGACAACTACTTGATATCTTCTACAGAAGACGAGATAACGAGGCTCAAAGATTGCTAGATAGCAAACCGGCGTCAAACTCATGGACATGCCTTAAAAATGCCCAAATCGGAACAGGACGAATTGACAAGCTAGGCAAAAGTACCCTAATTAAAAAACTCTGTTTTTGACAACCCGTCAACTCTTATTTTCAATAAATCCACCTGGGGCATCACGAAATTGCAAAATCCGCTCTATTATAATCTCTGATCCGTTTGTACTAGTCACCACCACTTGGCACACGCTGTGTAGTATTAGTTCTAGTCAGCTGAATTATTTTTGATTAGAGGAAAGAGTTTGGGGAATATAAATAATCCATCAGCAGATTCTGATGTAATGAAAAGGTCAAAAAAGAGCATGTGATAGCCACGGAAAGCTGGCCGCCAACTTTGAGCTCAATTATCTCAGCTCCTATAAGAGATATTAAAAATTTGTCAAGTGATAAAACGTAGCTGATATTATGACAAACACTTTAGCAGTTGACCACTTTTTGATATCTTTCAAAGGAGCCAAGATAATTGAGCTCAAAGTGTTCATATGCTCCTGCGCCTTTAGACTCCGCAAACCCTAAAAGTCAAGTGGATGAGTAATTCATGTAATAGGTTATAGCCTCTCTTCTACTCAAAAAGCCGTGGGGAGTCATATAATGTTTACTTCTCCCTCTTTCTGTTTACCTGGTCAATCAAGTAGATCAAAATAACAAAATATCTGTTTCTTGGCTCAAAATTGTCTCCTCACTGGCTCTAGCTTTGAACATAAGATCAAATTTCTAGACATTCTTATTAGCAAAACTTCTTACTAGAAAAACGTATTAATAGCGAAATTTCTTATTAGCAAACTTTCTTAATAACACAATTTCTTACTAGGGAAAACTCTCATTAGCAAAATTTCTTAAAAGCAATCTCTCTTGAACGATCTCTAATCCCTAGCCAATTATTTTCCTGAGGCCCCCTCGTAAGTCCATAATAATTGACTCGGTTCGAGGACCAACCCCATTAATACGGATAAAAGAGAGGAGAAAGAAGCAAATTGAGGTTTAGAGCATGGAGCCACCTGGAATGAAGATTTGAATTTTCGGAAATTTTGAAATTTCGGGTTCCGACACGAAAAAAAAACCAAAATTGAAATCCCCATAACTCGGCCAGATTTGATCGAATTCAATTGAAAATTATATCATTAAACGTACTTTATAAAGAGCTTCAAAACAAGTATAATCATGACTAGGTTTCGAAAATTTCGATTTTTTCGGGTCCCGACACGAAAAATTGGAAATACCGTAACTCAGCCAATTTTCGTTGGATTTCAAGGACTTTTTTATCATTGAACGTAACTTTGAAAAAACTTTTAAATGAGTATAATCATGCCTAGTTTCCAAAATTTTTGAAAATTTTTACTTTTTTGGGTCCCACCACGAAATAAAAAATAAAAAAACAAAACTTGAAAGCCCCATAACTCAGCCAGTTTTGGTCGAATTTGAATAAAAGTTGTATTGTTGAAATTAAAATTAAAAATGCTTCAAGATGAGTATAAACATGATTAGGTTTGGGAATTTTGGTTTTTCGGGTCCCGGCACGAAACGTACCAAAACTTGAAAGCATCATAACTCCCCCAGTGTTACTCGGATCCCAGTGAAAATTTTACCATTAAACGTAACTTCGAAAACGATTTCAAATGAGCATAAACATGACTAGGTTTGGAAAAAAAGAACTTTTGAGATTGTGAGTCCCACCACGAAAGGCTCATTTTCAGCCAAAAAAACTAAAATTTTTTCAGACGCCGTCTGGACGCTCACGAGCTCATTGAAAAGTTTGTAAACGAGCCAGAATCATCAACATCGTTGGCGTTGGTCCCAGTAAACACTCGCCAGGCTCAAAAAGCGCGTCAAGCAGCTCAAAAACAACAACAGGCGAATCTTCTGGCTCCACTCTACACTCCACGAGTCAGCATCGATTTGGCGATTGGACTTCAGAAGTTCACAGGAAGCATGGATTCAACAGCGGCGTTCTGCCAGGCAGGCGCTTCTAGAGTTCTTGCTCAGTTGGCCGAGGAGCAAGGAGCAGGAGGACCAAAGAAGAATCAATTGGCACTGTGCCAAGTGTCCACGTCATCAAGAACAGAGCACCTTCGATCACTTCAAGAGGCTATGGAGCATGAGCTAGAGGAGTTGGGAATCTCAAAACTTCAAGATATGCCATGTGATATTTGTAAATACGCATTCCCAGCGAATCGTCTCTACGTCATCACCCTCCCTGTCAAAAATCCCAAAAAATCGGAAAATTCATCAGTCCAACGATGCGGTGGATGCTGGAAAGGAAAGCTTCCTTCCAGAAGTCTCTACAGTATCCTAGTCACTGGAAAAGCTGAGAAATTCGTGAAAAACGTTGAGAAACGCATGGAATGTTTGTATGGGGACTGGGATGAGAGAATCACTCCAATGGTTCAGATGCTCAAGGAGAACGTGCTCCGTCCACAGGAAATTGTGCAACTTCTCAAGGGATGCGCCACGCCTGTGGAGTTTAATGGAGCGTGCGCTGTGGTTAGTTTTTATACCGTAGTTCTTTAAATTTTGAGTTCAGAGTTTGGAAACCTCAATATTCGTAATTAGCATGAAAAATGCGTCAAAATAAGTATAAACAAGGTATACTTTGTTTAAAATTCGAACTTCTGGATTTTTCGTGTTGGGACCCAAATTTTCGAAAATTTCGAATTTTTAGCAGTATAGCCGTGTTTATACTCAGTTTGAAGCTCTTTTCACAACAAATTTAGTGTTATCCAAATTTTTGAGTTTACGTCAAAACTGAGCAAGATACGGTAGTTTCAGTTTTTGCCTATTTTTTCGCGAAAACTGAAAATACTGTAACTCCACCAGTGTTCGTCGAATTTCAGTGGAAATAATATCATTGAACGTGTCTTCAAAAATGCTCCAAAATGAGTACAATCATGCCTAGGTTCCAAAAAAGTTGAAAGTCGCAATTTTTGGGTCCCGCCACGAAAAACTGAAATTACCGCAACTCGGCTAGTTTTTTGTCGGACTCAAATGAAAATTTCATCACTAAACGTTACTTTGACAACCCTTCAAAATGAGTATAATGATGTCTAATTTTCAAGGTTTCTGAAAATTTCCATGTTTTGGGTCCCAACACGAAAACCGAAAATTTCAATTTCCGCTCAACTATGCCGTGTTTATACTCATTTCGACCAGTGTTTTGTGCTTATTTCAACTTTTATAATTTTGATGACCTAAACTCAAAAGCTATTGGGTTACGGTAGGTTTCTCGATTTCTCAATAATACCAAAACTTAAAATCCATCGTAACTTGGCTCATTTCCAACAGATTTTTGTGATTTTTAGCTCAAAATGTAGCTATACAATTAACAAATTCAAATTTTTAGGTTATTCTCACCACAATCGCCTTCTATTTGGACTACGTCGGCTTTCGCCGCAGCTGTGACATGCTTCTCGCGTTGAAGCCAACCGCCACCTACGCTCAACTCTTCGAAATTTTTGCGATTTTCTTCCCGAACCGCGCCAAGGGCATCAAGACTGGCGACTTTTTGTAATTTGGTCTCTTTTTTCTCTGTGTCTCTTGTTCTCTCATTTCTTTTGATCTATCTCTCTGAATCTACCTCACACCCCTCAACTCAGGAAAACCAGAATTTTGATTTTGAAAAATTCATTAAAAACCTCAGCGAATCTCAAAAAATCACCCCCGAAAACATGTAAAAAATCCCCTCTCCCGCCGAATATTGATCTACCTCTTGTATACTGTACTTGAATGTATCAATGTTTTTTTTTGTATATTTATCCCCAAGTGAATGAAAATTTCAGTTTCACATTTTGTAAACATTTTTGTTGGATTTGCCTTCAAAAGAGCTTCAAAATGAGTATAATCATGACTAGGGTTGCGGAAGTTTTGAAATTTTGGGTCCCACCACGAATATGACGGAACACTTAGAACTACCGTAACTTGGTCAGTTTTTTTTGAAAAAAAAATTTGAAAAATTTTTTGAAAACAAATTTGAAAATTTCACTACATTCAGCTTAAATGTTAGAAAAGCTTTAAAATGAGTATAAACACGACTAGTTTCGCGGAAGTTTTGAAATTTTGGGTCCCGCCACGAAAATGACCTGAAATCTATAACTACCGTAACTTGGTCAGTTTTTATGCAAATTTGAAAATTTTACCGCAATTGGACATAGTATCAAAAGAGCTTCAAAATAAGTATAAACATGACTAGGTTTAGAAAAAATTGAAGTTTTCGATTTTTGGGTCCCACCACGAAAATTCAAAATTTCGAGAAACCATGTCTTGTTTATACTCATTTAGACGCATTTTTACTCCCAAATTCAATTTTTTAAATTTCAAACACTCAAACCGAATTCTAGAAGAGTTACGGTAGATTTTGCTTCAAAAATCCGAAAAAAAAATGCAAAACCCCCCATAACTCGGCTCATTTTACTCCGTTTTCCATGATTTTACGGTTATTCTGACTGAAAAACAACTAACTTGCGTCCATAGTCTTTCCACTTCTAAGACTATCCGCGACGGAGGCAGGCATTAGTTCACAGAGGAGCTCATCGGTTTTTTGCTTCTCAATTTCCAGCTCTTGAGCCATTTTCTTCAATTTCTTCGTGGTTTCTTCAAGGGTCCGGCTGAAAATTTTTGGATTTTTCAAAGCTGACACTGTTTTCAGCATCACGAACTTCAATTCGACTTGACTCATTCTGCTCTGATTCAACATGATGACGTCACGAGTACCGTCGTGACGTTGCATGTCCGATAAATGCAAATTTCTTTCGATCAGCTCGCGAACCTGATAAAAAATCGATAAATCGATAATCGATAAATTACAGTACACTTACAGTAGTCACATTAACGCTGCACATGTACAATATGTATTTTCCCTCATCGATAAAAACCATTGAGCCCTTGAGAAGAACGGTTTTCGCCTCATCCGATGGGTTATGGACAATGTCTCCGAGACCCTTAAACATTGATTTTTTTGCCTTAAAAATATTTTTTTCGAATTTGTCTTTAAAAATGCTTCAGAATGAGTATAAACACGACTAGGTTTTTGAAATTTTGAAATTTGGAGAAATTGGGGTCCCGACACGAAACTTACTGTAACTCGACAAGTTCTTGTTCAACTTGAATAAACAACAAACCGTTCAACGTATTTTTGAAAGAGCTTCAAAATGAGTATAATCATGCCTAGGTTCCAAATTTTTTGAAAATTTGCACTTTTTTGGGTCCCACCACGAAAATCGAAATTTCATAATTAAAAAATGCTAAACTCTAAACCTACTGGATTACGGTAGTTTTTCCTTTGAAAAATCTTACCTTCAATCTAAACACAAAAAGTGAATTTTTGTAATACTTAATCGATTCGTATGAAAATGGAACTTCCGGATGGACCAACTCCAACAAATCGGTGACTCTTGTCTCTTGTCTCGTTGCATTTGGGTAGGTTTTCTGAAAAAAAGAGGCGTGGCTTAAAAAAGGGGCGGGGCTAAAAAAACCTTGATAAAATTCCCAAAGTGTTCGAGAAAAAGGTCCGGATCGAAGCAAATGTGATAAGGGAAGGCCAAACCAAAGTCCGTAGATGAGATTTCATAAATTCCCTGGAAAACAAAATTTTTGGACGATCACCGTAAAACCTGTAATAGAAGGGCCCTTTCACTTTGAGCTCAATAATCTCAGTTACTGTAAGAGATATTAGAAATGTGTCAATTAACAAAATGTTAGTGATATTATGACAAATATTTTATTAGTTGACATATTTTTTATATCTTTGATAGGGACCGAGATAATTGAGCTTAAAGCGAGGCAAGTATACTGGTGACGCAATCCGACCCCCCCCCCCCCCCCCCTCACTTGTATATTTGAGCTCAATTATCTCGGTTACTGTAAGAGACAACAAAAAGTCGACAACTGATAAAATGTTTGTCATAATGTCAGCAACATCTTATCAATTGACAATTGTTTATATCTTCAACTAGAAAGTGAGATAAATTGGCTCAAACTTGACGGCCAGATGTGCAATCCTAGATAATAGGATCCTCAACTTTGAGCTAATTTATCTTGGTTACTGTAAGAGATATCAAAAAAGTTTTAACTAATAAAATCATGGTGAGATTATGATAAACAAATTATCAGTTGACAACTTTTTTATATCTTTGACAGTAACCGAGATATACTAGCTCAAAGTTGAAAAACAAGTTTTACGGTAATTTTTGCGTTAATTTTCAAATGGAAATTAGGCCCCCCGTGAAGTAGGTCTAAAACCGAAAATAAGCCTACAAAAGAGGCCTAAAAAGGCCTCGGTTTTAGACCTACTTCTTCTTGCTCCGAATCTTTTGGGATTTTTGGAGAATCCGTCAGAGAATGATGGGGTACTAATTTCCACGCGGTCAACCGTCGACGAATGAATAATACCGTTGACAAATCAATTTGAGAGTCGGCTTTTGAAGAAATCGATTTCTGTTGGACACTATTGGCATTCTCAATTTGGGTAATGACAAAAACAACGTGCTCCGTGACGAATGCATCCAAATGCTCTTGCTTTCGTTCTTGAACCTTCATGACGACTTCTGTGTCGTAGATACGACGAGCCACTTCACGAACAACACCTGGAAAAGTACTAGCTCATGAAAAACCTGACAATTTGACCTAAATTTCATAAAAATTGAACCAAAACTGATCGAATTATGGTAATTTCAAGATTTCGTCCTTTTTGGGATATCTAAAAACCACCGTAATCCCTTTGTTTCTCATTTTTAAAATTTGAAATAAGAAATTTTGAAACAAGCACGAAAAACCGGTTAAAATGAGTATAAACATGGTATAGTTTGGTGGAAATCGAAATTTTCGAATTTCGTGGTGGGACCCAAAAATCTCGAGTTTCAAAAAATTTGAAACCTAGGCATGATTATATTTATTTTGAAGCTCTGTTGAAAACAAGTTCAAATTTCTACATTTCATGAAATTCGAACCAAAGCTGACCGAGTTATTCGGCTTTTACTGCGATTTCAAGGTAAAACTAATGTAACTCGGCCAGTTTTGATTCAATTTCTAGGAAAATTTGAAATTGTCATCAAAAGAGCTTCAACATGAGTATAATCATGCCTAGTTTCAGGACTTTTTGAAAATCGCCACTTGTTGGGTCCCACCACGAAATTCGAAAATTTCAATTCCCACGTAACTATGACGTGATTATACTCATTTTAACCGGTTAGAATTGCAATCAAATTAGCTTCAAAATGAGTATAATCATGCCTAACTTTAAAGATTTTTGCAAATTTACACTTTTCTGGGTCCCACCACGAAACTCTAAGAAACATTTTTCCACCGAACTATGTCTTGTTTGTACTTGTTTTAATCCTCTTTCTATGAATATTTTGAATTCCAACATTTCAAAATCATAAACTCAAAACCTAACGGGTTACAGTAGTTTTTAAACTTCCCAAAAAAAAAGGACTAAAACTTAAAATCACTGTAACTCAGCCAGTTTTGCTCCAATTTTCATGAAATTTAAGAATTCAAACTTGACATAAAAAGAGCTTCAAAATGAGTATAAACATGTCTTGTTTCAAAATTATTGGATTACTGTACCTTTAACAATGGGATACAATCCACTACGTTTCGAGTAGTAATGAAGCAAAAGTGTTCCATCCGCCTGCACATCACATCGGAATGATGGTCCACGGAGCTTCGTCTTGTACACCACATGATCAATGAAATAGTGTAGAGAATCGAGAGAGTCCAGAAAGCCCTGTAGTTTGTAGTTTGTAGTTGTTTTTTAAGTCATAGATCATCAAAATGAATAAGTTATCAAGAGGTCACCACCCCAGCTTATTTTCGATCTATGGATTTGCTTTTTCTGGATTTTCTTCTTTAAATCTTGAATTGGAGTTCAAAAAATCTGAAAATCCCAAAATCCTTGACTCACGGAATTACAAAAGTGCCTTCCGGTCACTCAAACACCTCTGAGAAGCCGAGCAAGTGCCGACCACTTAAGCGCTTCCCACAAAAGTGGTAAAAGTCAGCGCGGTGGTGTCGGGGATGTGGTGTGCGCTCATATGCGCAAGGTCAGGGGTTCGATTCCTCTTGTGTTTTTTGTTTTGTTTTTTGTGATGTTTCTGAGCGCTTTTTCAATCTTCTAGGGTCATTCAGACTACCCTAAGTCTTTCAAACTACCATATCCCTGATTCCTTACTTCTAGATCTGGAGCCATTGCTCTCAGCAGCTCATCCCAGCCGGTTTCCATGGTGAATTGAATCAAGAATCCACCATAAGCCTCCCAGATTTCTTCAATTGGAATTCCAATCACATTGGCCATCGAGTTGACCAAACGAAGCGTTTCATCGTCGTTGTAATAATGAGCAATCTCACTTTCAGTGCCCAATTCGAATTTGGCCATGTGGCTGAAAATGGAAAATTCTATAACTCGATCAGTTTTAGTTCGAATTGAATGAAAAATATACCATTGAACGTATTTTGAAAAGCGCTTTGAAATGAATATAATCATGCTTAGGTTTTAAAATTTTTGAAAAATTCCATTTTTGGGACCCGTCACGAAACTCGAAAATTTCGAATTTCACTGCACTCTGTCTTGTTTGTACTCATTTTGGCCCATTTTTAATGTATGTTTCAAATTTCGTGAGTTCAAAATAATAGACTCAAGGCATAATGGGTTACGGTAGTTTTACAGTTTTCCTAAATGGTCAAATCTTAAAATCATCACATCTCGATCTGTTTTAGTCCAATTTTGAAGAAAACAATAGTTTTGAACGTACCTTTAAAAGAGCTTCAAAATGAGTATAAGCATGCCTAGGTTTCAAAATTTTGAAAATTTTAACTTTTTGGGTCCCATCACGAAATTCGAAAATTTCGATTTCCAATAAACTATGCCTTGTTTATACTCATTTTGACCAATTTTCTATGCTTTTTTCGAATTTCCTGATTTCAAATGGATAAACTCAAAACCTAATGGGTTACGGTAGTTTTTCGATTTCCCAAATAACACCTAAACTTGAAAGTACCACAACTCGCTCAGTTTTGGTTCAATTTTTTATGAAATACGCAATTTTTCGAAAATGAGTAACATGGTAAATTTGGAACTTACACAATTTTCTCCCAAATGTCCTTTCCATACTTTCTAGTTACAAGTTGTCGGAAACTTTCGTGAATCCAACCGAACTGCAAAATATGGAATTTGTAGAATTGGGCGATTTTTGAAAAACTCACCATTTTCTTCAATCAGGTCTTCAGATTTTTTAAAATCTCGGAACTTCAGGAACTTCAAAATTTTAGGAATCGTAGATTTTCAGTGTATCCGGAATATTAGGAATTTCAGGAGATTTTTAGGAATATCAAATTTTGAGGAATTTCGGATTTTTAGGATATTGAGAATTTTAAGAATTTTCAGGTAGAAAAGAAAACTTATAAATTTTCGGAGGTATATACAAATTTTGAAGATGAAGAAGTCAGAAAAGTGGTCCAAACGTCTATGGATTGCGTGTCATTTGGATATTAATTATTCCGGTCCCGGTCCCGGTCGCATGATAACCTGGCCGGAGGAAAATGAGGAGAAGAAGCCACGTTTTCGTTGTTACATATTTTATGAACAAGGCAGTTTTAGTTTGGATATACGCCCTCCCTTCTCTCAGTGGATCTGAAGGCCCTGGGGACCAGGAACTTTCGACCTTCAGAAGTTCTGCAACTCTGGAATTCTGAGATTCTGAGATTCTGAGATTTCTGAGATTCTGAGATTCTGAGATTCTGAGATTCTGAGATTCTGAGATTCTGAGATTCTGAGATTCTGAGATTCTGAGATTCTGAGATTTTGAGATTCTGATATTCTGAGATTCTGAGATTTTGAGATTCTGAGATTCTGAGATTTTGAGATTCTGAGATTCTGAGATTCTGAGATTCTGAGATTCTGAGATTTTGAGATTCTGAGATTCTGAGATTCTGAGATTCTGAGATTTTGAGATTCTGAGATTCTGAGATTCTGAGATTCTGCAATTCTGAGTTTCCGATTTTTGAGAATTTCCCTCGGTGTTTTTTGTTTGTTTTTGGCTCATTTATGGTCCATTCTCTAGTTATTTTGGGACCGTTTGTGGCGTCTTTTCGGTTTATTTTTAGCCCAGTTTTGGTCTATTTATGGTCCGTTTTTGATCCGTTTTTAACCCGCTTTTGCCATTTTTGGCTCAATTTCAGTTTGTTTTTGGTCCGTTTTTCTCCGTGGTCTTGTTTTTCAACTCATTTTTGTCTGTTTTCTGTTCGTTTTTGGTCCGTTTTTGACTCGTTTTTAGCCCGTTTTCAGCCTATTTTCGGTCAGTTCGTAGCCCGTTTTTAGCCCGTTTTCTATCTTTTGCACCTCCGATTTTTCTATTTTTCCTGTGTAATTTTTAACCGCATCATAAAAATACAATTCTTCTTCTTTTTCTTTTTCTCCATACACATCGTGGCTGCAAAAAAGAGAGAGAGAGAGTGCAGAGAAAACGAGAGGAAAAGTGTAAGTGTATCGTTTTTTTTTCTTCCTCTTTCTCTGTCTCTCTCACTGTCTGCGTCTCCTCCTATTCCTACTCTCTCTCTCTCCCCTTCTTTTTCCAATGCCATTCTTTCTGTTGCTGTACTCTACCCTCAACCATTTCGGCTTCGATTTCTTGGGTTTATAAGGATTTTTATTTGGTTTTTTTGGCGCCAAATTCAAATTATTCAAAGGTGCAGATTTTCGGCGCCAAATTTGAACGGTTCTGGAATAATTAATTATGCCTATTTTTTGGAAAATTGACATTACACTATTTAAGAACTGTACAACTGCTGAAAATGATCTCGAAATCGCAAAATCTAAATTTTCAGCTTCCACGTGGCCATATCTTCTCTGAAATTAATTTTACAAAAAAGTTGTCAACTACAAAAATGAAGCTCTATTTTCATTTTATATTATCTGAAATTTTCAGACAAATCGAAAAATGATGAGCATTTTTTTCAGAGCTCCAAAATCTTTAGAATCGTTTTTTTCCCAAAAAAATCCAATTATTTTTCTCTTGCGACATCGACACCAAAAAAACGTTTTTTTTTCTGCAAAATTATTTTTTCTCTGCGTCTCTTACTCTCTGGCTTCCGTTTTTTGCAAATTTCCAGATATGTTTTCAATAAATTTAGCCTTTTTTTTAGAATTTTTCGAAAACTTTCGCCAAGTTTTCAAAATTTTCAAAAAATTTTAGTTTTCTTGCTTTTATAACTCAGAATTCCCACGAAAAAATGTATGCAAAGTTTTTTTTTGTGTTCCTTTTCTCCTTTTTGCATGCCAACAGGACAATATTAGAATCAATATGGAATGTATAATGTGTGCATACATTCCCTCACTGCTCTCACTTTGAGCTCAATTATCTAGGCTACTCTACGAAATATCAAAAATCTGTCAACTGATTAAAAGTTACTGATATTATGAGAAACATTTTATTAGTTGACTAATGTATGATATCTTTTATCGGAACCGAGATAATTGAGCTCAAAGATCGCAGGCTGCAAGCTCGTAGTACAGCCGGTAGCTTGTCCTTTGAGCTAAATTATCTCAGTTGCTATCAGAGATATCAAAATTATGTCAACTGATAAAATATTGCTCAAAATATGATAAAAATTTTATCAGTTAACAACTTTTTGATATCTCTTATAAGAGCCGAGATAATTGAGCTTGAAAAACTCAGACTGTCCATTTACTGATAAAATGTTCATCATGTCAGCATTATTTTATCAGTTAAAAGACTTTTGATATCTCTAACACAAACGAAGATAAATTAGACCAAAGTTTAAGGTCTGAACCTACTCCTTTTGGGTTGCACCCAAACTGTTAACTTTGACCTAATTTATCTCGGTTACTGTAAGAGGTATCAAAAAGTTGTCAACTAACGAAATGTTCACCATGTTATCAAAAATATTTTATCAGTTGAGAATTTTTTGATATCTCTTACAAGGGCTGAGATAAAATTGCTCAGAGTTGACACGCCTTTCTTTTACTGTATCATTCGTCTCTCACTGGCTCATGGTTCCCCAACTTCACCTTTTTTTCAGGGGTACAAATGATGGACTTAAACCAAATCAATAGCCTATTAAGCATCATGAATAGTCAAAGCCAATCAGTAATGAATCAACCATTCGGCAGCTACATGTCCCAGCTCCAACAACCGAATCCAGTGCAAATGCAATCCAACATGCAGCTCTACAACCTGCTGCTTCAGCAACAGAGTCTTCTGTCTCAACTTCAACAACCATATCCACAAGGTGCACAAGTCGTTCAGCAGAATTTGACAAACCATAATAGCGTGGTGCAGCCCACGAGCAGTAGCAATGGAGCTGGAGTGGCAACTGGAGCAGCAACTGGAGCAACATCCGGAGCCGCCATCGGCCATGTCAACCAGAACGGCGAAGGCATTTACATCCCAATGGCGACAACATCAGGGTACCCAGTACCTAGAGCAAGCATGTTCATGTTTGGAATCTGTCGATCGACTAATACAAGACTTTTGGGATATAAGAACTCCAAGGAAGGATGCTACTATTTCTTCTACTACGTCCACGCACAGGGCAAATTCTGGCCCCATGACTGTGATAAATGTCAGCCGGTTATCAAAGAAGCGTCTTTGAATCCCCTCTACGCAGAATATGACGACTTGTTGAGACAGAAAGTGCTTTTTGTGAAAAATCGGATTACCAGTAAAGTTGAACAATACAAGTTTGATATGGATACAGGAGTCCTCACTCAAGTCAAACGTCCTAGTATGGTATACTCGGCTTCGAAGGTTGTGGATAAGACTGCTGTGATTGGGGTTTGGAAGTCTAAGAATGGAAAGGATACGGTCATGATTGAGAGATCGACGACGTCCAGTTTGAGAAAAGTCAAGATTAATGGAGAGAAAACGGAGATAATGGCAGAGTGTCCGCTGGTGTGAGCTGCTTTTTTTGGATTTTCCCTCAAACGTTGTTTATTAGCTTATCGTCCACTTTGAGCTCATGTATCTTAGTTTCTGTAAGAGATATAAAAAAGTGGTCAACTAACAAAATGTTTATCATAATATCAACTGTATTTTATTAGTTGATTACTTTTTGATATCTTTCAAAGGAACCGAGATAAATAGGCTTAAAGTTGGAAGACGAATTTTTCCTTTTTTTTTGAATTTTTGGACTTTCGGATTTTTAAGATTTTTAGGGGTTTTTTCAAATATTCAGATATTTTGATTATGAAGTTGATAATCCAAAATATTCCGAAAAATCCAGAAATCAAAAACTCTTTGAAATCTAAAGATTTTGTTCGAAAAATTTTTAAACACATTTTTTTTTTCGAAAATGGAAACTTTGATTTGAAAGCCAGAAAGACTTGAAAATCCTAAAATCCAAGAATCCAAAAAATTAAAAAATCCAAAAAAAAAAACGTAAAACCTTAGAATTTTAAAAATCCAAGACTCAAAAATCATAAGAATCCAGATACTGTAAAACCTGTGATAGAAGGAACTTCATACTGTTAAGTTTCAGCTCAATTATCTCGATAGATATAAGAGATATCAAAAAGTTGTCAACTGATAAAATATTTATCATAATATCAGCAACATTTTATTAGTTGACACATTTTTGATATCGTTTACAGGAACTGAGACAACTGAGCTCAAAGTGGGCGTGGCTCAGTCGGCGCCGCTGGTTGCGTCGACACTATACTGTCGCGAGCTTTTGAGCTCAATTATCTCGGTTTCCGTAAGATATATCTAAAAGTTGTCCACTGAAAAAATGTGCATCATAATATCAACAATGTTTTATCAGTTGACACATTTTTGATATCTCTCACAGGAATCGAGATAATTGTGCTCAAAATGGACGGTTTGGGTGAGCTTCTATTAGAGAGAACTTTCAAAAAAAAAAATATTCCAAGAAAGTCCAATAATCTAGCAAATCGAAAATTTATGGATTTTCGAAATCCAAGAATTCCAACAACAAAATCATACTCCTTGTTTTGGATATTGAAGTTAAGCTCTCGAAATGTTTCAGACGCCTCTCAACTCCTCCCATCCTCGAAGAGCACAGATGTCAAAACTATCCAGAGCTATCCCAAATGGAACAGGATTACTGTGGCTTCCTCTCATCAGCAATTCCATTCATCTCGTATTTCTGCCCTCACACTCAACAGGAATTATTGAAGACGTACAACAAGGTTCAACACAAGTACATTCAATATTACTACAATGAAAACGAAGGTGTCTTCTATGATCTTCCATGTAAAATGTGTATGATTGCCCCAGTGGAACGGGATTTAATCCCAAAATACGCCGAGAAATATGAAGGAAAATGGGTCATAATGGCTCAAAATGCACATACGATTCATGTGGAACAATTCATTTTTAATGGAGAAACACTCAGTTTTGAGCAGGTCTACTATCCGGGACTACGGTATGATCAAGCGAAGGATTCGGCGAGTTGGGTTATTCATTGTGGAGAATATAATGGAAAACAGACGATTATAATGAAAGACGGAATGTATCGAATTCGAAAGGAGCAGTTTTCGACGGAAAAGTTAGTTTTCATGAATTTGGGTAATTGCCCACCCAACCCGTCAACTTTGAGCTCAATTATCTCATTTCCTGTGAAAGATATCAAAAATTTGTCAACTAATAAAATATTTATCAATTCATCAGTAATATATTTATCAATTCATCAGTAATATTTTACTAGTTGACAAATTTTTGATATCTGTCACAGGAAATGA